TATCCTGAATTTCAGTACCCAGAATCTGAAACCACATTTGTCCACCTTTAACACTAGTTCATTCTCCTACATGCAGGAGAGGCTTTCAACCTCAGTAGCTCCCAGGACAGATGAATATCATCATCACATTCATGACAACCTTTCCAACTATTTCATATAGCTATTAACAAAATGGGAGACACTTTCTGGGATATTTCCCAAGGGAATGCACCAAAAACTCTCAGCACAATTTTCTGGGAAAGGAATTACTGCAATGTGGCAATATGAACCTCTACTATGGCAAGACCACCAAAGAAACATCACATCGAATGGTAATCAAAGAGATCCGGCAGTATTAACAGGATCACATTCCCACTTCCTCTCTCGTCTCTCAACATAGGTCATCCATTTGAACAACTAGGCTTCCTCCATGGTAAATCCAGATATAAAACCAGGTTGAAAAGAATTTAGATAATACATTAACTCAATTCAAGAGTGCAAACAGCACAGCATGTAGGGGTTTGGTGTAAAGAGCTTGAGCCCTTCAGAATGCATATTGTTTTATTGTTATATTATTGTTTTAATTTTGTACGCCGCCCTGAGTCCCTTGGGATTGGGCGGCATATAAATTTTAGAAATAAATAAATAAAATAAATAAATAAATAATTCAATTCAAATCAATTGTTTGATTTTTTTTTTTTTTTTTTGCATTGTTATGTTTGAACAAGATTAAATGGCAATATGGGTGCTTTAAGCCTGGTAGAAAAGTGTAGCCCTACTCTGTTAACCTCTCTCTTCAAGTTCCACTTCCATCTGTTTTATATATATATATATATATAAAAAACATATACAACCCAAACACTGCACTATTTTCTCTTTATCAGTAGAGGGAGATATAAGCCAAAAGAGATAGAGGGAGGGTGATAAAAGGGTGATAAAGAGAGAAAGATTCAATATCACTACTGATGAAAATAACAGCCCAAGCTTCTGGTAAATTTAATTTTACTAACAGAGAAAACACAAGGCAATGATAATATATAATTTAAATTAAAACAGTAAAATGAAATATGAGCATGGGCAGTTTTGCTTTATGAACTTCACCATATCACACAGAATTTGTACATGTCAAACAGAAGGTTTAACTCCTTGACCTAAAAATTGGAGTGGCAGGCCACTACCTTCTTTATCAATATTTCAGGTTGGCAAGTAGATCTAAGTTGGCCCTTCAGCAATGGCTTCACTACTGCCTGTTTTTAAAGCAGTATGAAAGTAACTCTGATCTGCAAGAAATAACTATTAATCAGTGGATGATCACTGACAGCACAAAGTCTTGGGAACCTTTATATTTAGTTTAGGGGAGGGCTTCGATTTATAAATAATAGTGCAAATAGATCCAAGAGTTTCTCTAATTCCTTGGAGATTTCATTAACTACTAAAGTTACAGAATTATTCAAATAATACAAATACAGTGTAAATCAAACAGATTTTATTTATTTCGTAACTAATAGATTGGAATACTACTAGAACTAATAAAGATCAGGTCATTGTTCTGATGATCTAATAGGATTCTTCATGGATGGAATCAAGGAACAGCCCCAGCTTCTCTTTTATGCCACTCTAACCAAGGAAGAGATCTTATGACTCTGCCTGGATCATTCTTAATCAAATTCAGTCTTGGACCTACATCATGACTGCTATGCTTCCCTGCTTCACACACACACACACACACACACCAGGTCCTAAGAAAACTCCCACACTGTGCAGGTAAGGATTCCAAGCTCAGCACGGCAAAGTCATTAGGTAAACCAAGTCCAATGGGCACACACGAAGTCCAGGGAAACAATCCATGAGGTCAAGATACATGGCACAAACAGACAAGCATTGAACTGGGCATGTTCCTCTAGTAACGTTCAAATCCTCGGGGCAGGATTAAGTAGGCAATGCTGGTGTAGCCCTTCACAAAGGGTGAAGTTGCCTCCTTGAATGCAATCTAGCTGACTGGGGTTGCGCCTGTCTCCTCTCTGCCCTAAGTGTCCTTGGATCGGGAGGAGGTGTGGACTCCACCTCTTCCTTATCACTAATGGGCAGTAACTGCTCCCAGTCGTTGCCTGAAGCCTCCTGGCCAATTCACTGCAGTTCACTTCACTCAGCTTCAGCCTGTTGCTTGTCCGATCAACCCAACTGAGGCTGCCTCTGTCAGGTTAGCACTGTCCGAGCCCCGATCCGGACCATCACTTGGCTCTCCACTTTCCTCTGCTGACTCAAATTTATCCTCTTCCTCCAAACTCACGCCCAGAGAGGGGTCTGGGGATGAATCCATGATACTTGTTCGAACTAACTGCCCTTACACTTCATTACATACAATGATTTTACATAACACACTGCAAGGGATAATGAAAGAATTACCATGTCAAGTACCAAGAAAACCTGCTAGTGCTTATAAAATAGGCCCCTCCCCAGCTTTGGGTACCAAGGTCTTCTGGTACTGAACATGGTAATTCCTAAGCTTCACGTTGTTGACAGGATGGCCAGCCAGGTTCAAAAAAACTTCACCCAATACTATTTAAAATCTATCATGTTCTAGGGATTACTTTATTTAATCTTGCCTTTACCCGAATAGAAAGGATACGTTGTAATAGTAAAACCTTATCAAATATTGATCCACTTGTGGCAAGATTTTCACTTTTATGTCTTTCATATATGAACGTTCCTTTTCAGAACAAATAACAGATTGAGACTATGACCTGCCCATAGCTTCTGAAATTGTTAGTCTGAAGCCCATGAAAGCCACAAAATTTTGATTCACCTGTTTTGAGTATATGCAATTGGAGTTCCCAAAACCAAAATCCTTAGGCTTAGAGCTTCTTCCACACCTCTGGGATTATCCATGTAGGCTAGTTATATTAGAGGAAGTATAAGTAGGAATAACTGTAACTGAGTGGTCCTATTAACATTATTTCTTCCTCTACTTCTCATGAAGTGAAAGTTTCTCTCAATTTGACAAAGTTTATACTGAATCACCTCAGTGGAACAGGTCTTGGAATTAAAACAAGGACCTGCTTTGAAGCAGTGTTAAATTAGGAACCTGCAAAAGAGTAAATGGCTCTTTTGTTGTCTCTAGGGAAACCTAGAATTGTATATTATTGCAGACCACTTTAGTTCCATATATGGAGATTGAAAAGATGAGTTAAGCAAAATGATGGATTCTCAGAATGACCTTTATCACCTCACTAAACTTTCTGTCTATCAAAACTCTTTTGAGGTGGGAAGATTAACATTACATTTGACTTCTTCATTTTCTCACCTCTTAGTTTCTTGAACATGGCCAGCTGGGAGCCTCTATTTCCTCTTGGGTTAGCAGAATGTGACACTTTTATTCTAGTTCTGTCAACATAAGTTGGAGTTCAGTTTGGCATTCTGTATAAGTAATCAAGGCTTGGATGTGTGTGTGTGGGGGGGGGTGCTTGGGTCAAACCATTGTGTGTTAATATTGGCACTCTCCCTCTTTATTATACAGAAATATTTCTTGCAAAAAAAATATTATCCTTAAACTTGTAAAAGTTAGTAAAACAAAAACAAAAAAGCCCTATATTCTTATATTTTCTGTACCAAATCACACTTTCAAAAACACACTAATTCCAAGAGATAAATACAAACACACACAAATACATATAATATATACACATATACATACACAGACAAGCAAAATATCGAAAGACAATGTTCAAAGCATACAATTATTTTTTTTTAAAAAAATCATGATTGCAAAAATAACATTTTAAAACACCAACATTTACAATTTTGAATCGCCCATAAAGTCTTCAAAGAAGAGTAATTATTAGAACTCCAAAGTAGAGGGGGGATGGGGGGGAATGACGGAAAATGGGGGAACCACTCCTCTCCTAAAAAAACTTAACTTCTGAACCAGATAACCGTTAATATGTTCCTTCTCCCCAGAGACTTCCTCCAGCTAAGTTATTTAATTAAAAATAAAAACTCAACACTACTCCTGCTGAGCATTTTTTTCAATACACTTTTAAGTTTCATGAAGAAATGGAGGTGGATCCAAGCCAGAAAAAAATGTTTTATGGCTTCAGGCTTCTGAATACCTTTCCAATATTCTGGCAGCAAATAGAAAATGTAGCTGAACATTTAATAAGATACTGAGCAATTCTTCCTTTGGCTACCTCTTTGGGATGGAAGGAACCATGCCATACTATCTTCCTGTGGTCAAAAAAAGTATTTGACTCTTACTAAACCCAGCTCTTGCTGCTTCTGAGCTTTCTGAAAGATTGTTTATTTATCAATAATTGCAGTTCTCTGAATGATCACCTATGAGTCCATTCACATAGGCAATACATTTCTGCAGAGCCCATTCAGAACTGTGTAAAACTTAAAATTTCTTGTCTTATACTCATACCAAGTGCGCTGAATGTTTTCAACACAATACATTTGAGGAATAGTGAGATCAAGCAGATAAGAAGGGTCAGTTGATTGTTCAGTGAACTGCAGTTATAGGTTGGCCACCAATTATTTACCACTATCTCTGTGATTCACACAACTATTAGACTAGCAACCTTCTTACCTAGAAGACGATCTGACAATAAAGTGACATCTCATTGGGAACCAAGATTCTGTTTATAATACTGAACCAAGATGGAAAACTGAGCCTACAGTATGTGATCATGCACTGTAGCTCATGTAGGGGAATATACTCAACGAGGAACACTGATGCTCTTATGAAATGAGTGTTGAGCAGAATAGCAGCTCATAGCAAAGCTTTTGCATGATTGTGTTTCCAAGTATGTAAGCTTGATTCGTAACATTTGATTAGCTTTCTGTAAATTTGTTATAGCATTTCAGTAAGTGATTGCTTGTCCATTAATAGGGAGCTACTGCTGTCTAATTTATTAATTCTTGTTTGAATTAATCAGCATACACTTAAAGTATATTTCTCCAAATTGCCATTCTTTTATATCTACAATAATATTTTTATCCATTTATTTCGAATAAAACATTACCCTTTCATCTTCTTCGTCGGTAGATGAAGGAGAAGGTAAAGTTGCTGCCACCACTGCTGTGCCGTGATGGACACTGCTTCTTAGTTTTGGGTTTTCCTCTTTTTGAAGACATCTAGATAACCTATTTCCCAATAAAATATATAAAAACAAAGATTAGTCACCTGCTTTTAAATCCACAATTCTTTAGAAGAAAATAAAGTAAAAGTCAACAGAAGCAGAGATGTCACAGTTAATTATGCAGATATTTTGGCCAAATATCTGTTTCTAATTTATTCTATTCATGCAATTTAGGGTATTTGAAGGCCAAGATAAACGCTACATAGAAGCCATATGGAAGTTTGTCTTAACAATTGTTTTCGTTATTGTTATAATAGAAATCTATTTTAGTTCTAATTAAACTTCTTGTATATACAAACAAGTGGATTTCCTTTCATATATAGATTCCCCATCTCTCAGTCCCACCACCAGAGAACACTCTGAAATGAAAACTAGGTGCAACATTCACATAGTTTGCCTTAGTATGTATTCCTTCTGCAAAAGAAAGGGGAGATAAACAGGCAGCTATCCTTTGCCCTGATTAGATTCTCCACTTTCTTCAACAGTTCATAACAGAAGTAAAATTCATAATATCACTTTTTCTCTTTCATTCAAATGCCATACGTAGTCCTCAACTTATGACCATTCATTTAGAAACTGTTCGAATTTAGGACAGTATGGAAAAAAATGACTTACAACCAGCCCAGTGTCCCTGCAGTCACATGATCACCATTTTCAACCTTCCCAGATAGCTGCCAACAAGCAAAGTCAATGGGGAAGCCAGTATGGAAAGTTACAAGTCGCAGTCATGTGATGTCTCATTTAATGACCATACAGCTCACTTAACAACCACAACAAAAAGGTTGCAAAATTGGGTGCGGTCACATAATGCCTCATTTAATGACCATACTGCTTAATGATGAAATTTCCAATTTCTATTGTGATTGTAGGTTGTGGACTACAATGGAGATCTATACTGGTTCTGAACAACCTCCAACAATGTCTACCTCAATTAAACAACTGAGAATGGAGAGACTGATTATATTCTTTCATGCTTTTAATACCAATAAGACATACTGCATCTCAATTGAAACATTTGTTTTTCTCTCCCCCACTCAGACTTAAAGGATGCCGTCTACAATATATGATAGATCTCTTAATCTACCAGGGAATCTTTTCAGGGGTTACGTGGGGATGTATTGAAGATCAAAGAAGCGTAAGATTTATTCAGCAAGTTTATTTTTTGTTATGTAGTGTTAGACCTTAATGCTGAGTTTGAGGCTATAGAGGTGGAATTTGTAGCAACAGAGACAGTGAAGGAATATATAAAGACTACACAAGGTAGAATATAAGCCGCTTCACCAAATTTTAGCATATATTTAAGAAGCTTCCATAAATGATAGTTGATTGTACTGTTTGACTGTTAAGCAAGATTTCATATGCATACTCTATCATATAATTTGATATCAGGCACCTAAGAGTGTGTGTGTGTGTGTGTGTGTGTGTGTGTGTGTGTGTGTGTGTGTGTGACTTCATACGGCATGGAGAAAGTAACCTGGCAGATTAGAGGCTGAGTCAATAGACTCCTTATACTGTTGCCCTACATTCCTGCCACCTTTGGACACTGATATATTTGGTTTTCAGGATTTTTCTGGATGCTGCCTATCAGGGTTTCCAGATCATTGCAAGACATATACAAGTAACAGTTTTAATTTTGTGTTCCTATTCTGCAATATTGTGGGGTCAATTAGAATAGTGTGCTGCTGCACAAAGGCTTATGAATCCACATGATTCTAAGTGCTCTATAGTTTTTTTAAAATATAATTTTTTAAAAATGAAGTTTTTGTTGCAGCTTTAGCTATCTGTCAGCTTGAGCTAGTTCAGACAATGGACATGAGTTTTCTAAGTGGCCTCTCTAACTGAACAGAATTTGTTTGGGTCCTTCATCTCCTAGAAACCTAGAAGCAATGAAATAAAAGGAATAGCAGAACACTATAGCACGAGCAGCAGAATACTCAGAATGAGTACAATGGATATAAGTAAAGAATTCTTTGTCAAGCCTGTTCTATAGTGAGGGTGACAATAAAATATTTCTGCTACCACTGCATCCTACAGTATCCTACAATCTCCAAGAGAACTGTTCTGGGAAGTCTGGGGCCTGTGCTATCAATGCCACCAAAAAGATAATGTAATAATTCATAGATAGAATTGACAATGATTGCAATGATGTGCTATCATGTTGGAGTTACCTCTTAGTGACCACATAGATTTTCTCCCTGAAAGAATGACTTACTGTCAGATAAAACTCATCATACATCTATATTATAATAGTGTATTATTAGCTGTCATTAGTTATTTAGTGTATTAACTGTTTAACTTGTCTAATACACTTTTTAAAGTAAACTTAAGTCTACATATCAAGTAACCAAATATCTTCTCCATGTTTTACAACTGTGCAATAATTTAATTAGATAAGTTGCTTTATTGTTGTATTGTTTTTTTCCCTTTCCCAATAAAGAATTGTTGCATCAAACTGTTTTTTTTTTTTACTGCAAAGGCTGGTCGAAGAGGATAATCAAGATATTTGATTTGCATTCTTTGGTCTGAACTGATAGTGTAAAAAAAAAGAAACCTTGAGAATTTTTATCATCTTTACCAGATAAGAGGTAGCTTGGGGTTAACTAACACTAAAAAGCTTGAGAAAATATGGTGCATGCTTTTCAGTTCAGAATGATGGTAGATATTCCTTACTGTATTTCTATTAGGAAGATGGAATGATTACATTATGGGAGCTTACCTGTATTCCTCAAAAAATTATAATGGAACCAGAAGTAACATACTGTATATAGTTAAGGGAGAAGTCAAAATATCAGTCAATGACAGGAAGGAAGGAAGGGAGGGAGGGAGGGAGGGAGGGAGGGAGGGATTTGTAAATAAATGCATCAATTAGTGTGACCTTATCTATTGTTGTTTTGTAATGGAAATATTAATTTTGCAGTTTCTACAATACTACTTATGGTGAGGGGGATTAAGGGAAAAGAAATTTACAAACATATAAATGGACACCTGAAATATAAAAATTATCCATGATAATACACTAGTTATTGAATGAATACTCAGATAGGCAGCAATTTCAGCAGTAATGGTTTCCAAAGGAAATTGTCTTCTAGATCAGTACTATGTAATAAATGTTGATTAATTCTTAGTAGCAGATTTCATCTCATGATGGTTGCTGTTTTGGGCTTCAGATCGATATTGTTTAAATATTAAAAAATAATACATGTACATTTTCCAGAATGGTTTTCTTGCTGACTCATTTTGAATTAATCTTTTCGCATCTCAGAAACCATTTAATATCATTTTAGTCCTAATAACCTGGAGACAACTGCCACTGCTTTGACATACAAAATGTATTCTCTATGTTAACATGCTTTATATAGTCTGGTCAACAAATAATTGCATAGCGATACTAATTAAAAATCAATAGATATAAAAGTAAAAAATGATTTATGTTGCCTCTCTACAGATACTCCTTGACTTGTGACCACAGTTGAGCCCAAAATTTATGTTGCTAAGCAAGACATTAGTTAAGTGAGTTTTGCCACATTTTACAACCTTTCTGTGATGACTCCCCCAGACGCATCCCTGGATACCTCTCCAGATAATAGTTCAGAGGAGGATAAACCAGTCCCAGGCATGTAAGAATGGGAGCTGGTCAATGGCTCCGAGCAGCCGGCTGAGAGTGATTTGCTGAAGCACAGCTACAGCAGGACAGCCCTGAGGCTTCAGGCGTGGAAAGACCACAGATGTAGCCAGTTAGTGATGATGAGGAAGAACTCCCTTCTGCACCTAATCCAAGAACATGTAGGGCAGAGAAAAGGCAGGGAGCAGCAACGGTCAGCCCGATTACTGGTGAGGAGCAGTCTCGTGCCTCTTGATGGGCTGCACTATTTAGCACAGTAGACAGATGGAGGCGATGCTGGGGACGTGTTCATTTCCTAATTGCATGTTTCCTGGTCGTTGTGATTCCTGCCTTGACTTTGGATCATGCCTTGTGAACTCTGAACTTTTCTTACCTTGTGAACCCTCTTACATTGTTGGTTTAATTTTGCCTGGTGGATTTGTCTTGTTTGGGAAACTTCCAAGTGCATTGTGGACTCATTGGCCATTGCTCTGTGGGCTAGCATCGGTCTGCTTTTGGCTGGTCTTAATTGGGACAGTTCTGGGGTTTTGGTGAAGGGAATTGCTGGGGAATATTAATAAACCTACTAAACCACTATTATGTGTATGTGCAAATGAGAGAGAGAGAGAGCACACTTTCTTGCCACAGGAGTTAAGCGAATCACTGCAGTTGTTAAGTTAATCACAGGATTATTAAGTGAATCTGGCTTTCCCCTTGACTTTGGTTGTCAGAAGGTTGCAAAAGAGGGTCACATGATCCTGGGACATTGCAACCATCATAAATTGCCAAATGTGCCAGTTTTGATCATGTGACTAGGGAGATGCTGAAACGGCCATAAGTGTGAAGAATGATATTGTCTCTTTTTTCAGTGCCATTGTATCTTTGAACTGTCACTAAATGAATTGTTGTAAGTAGAGGACTACCTGTACTAGTTATATGGAAACAATGCACAAACTAAGCAGGCAAATCATCCAAAGCAGAAGTTTAAGTAACCAAAAGGACCCATCTTTGCTTGCAAAGTAGTTTTCTATACATTCTCCAATAAGGAAAACCTTCCTGCAGGTGGATATTCATTTATTTATATCCTGCCTTTCTTCACAAGAATGTGACGGCATTTAGAGCTTTATTCCTTTTTCCTTACACAGACCCTGTAAGACAATCTGGGTTGAGAGAAAGGACCCAGCTCCAAGTAAACCAGCGACTTTCATGATGACTTAGCCTCAGATCAACTCTTTTCTGATTAGAGTGAATCTTAGTTTCCAATAAACTGTATTCTTTTTTTTTACAACATATTTTTCTCAATGTAATTTATTTCTTATACTGACAAATTTAAATTGAAGTCTGTATCAGAAGTGGTTTTTTAAAAGAAAGAATAAAATTTGGGCTAAACACTGGTATTATAA